GGCCTCACACCAGCTTTTAAGAGTTATTGTTTTTCCGACTCCTCGGGTGATGGAAGGCCCGAAAGAAATTTTCAAACAGCATCTTTTTTTTTTGTTTTTGTTAGTTTTTTCTTGCTTTGTTTGTAAGCTTTGCTTTCTCTTGGCACTGCTGCCTTCCAAAGTCTATTTACATCCTGTGTTTATTTAGATTTGGATGGTGCTGCTGATGCTGCAGAGCAGATGATGGGATTTTAACAGTTAACGGCGATTAACTCCAGTGTTATCGCATCGATCAGCCGAAGTCTGCTCCATCAAATCGTTTTGTTTGTTTTTTTACCCCCTTACATTTAGAAAGAAAAAAGAAAGATGTTTTGTGCTTTGTAACTACAGTCAAACAAATTAGTTTACCATCTGTTTAAAAATACATCAGCACAGCTGGCCGGCTTGCTTTCGCACACCCATTTGAATGTTTCCAAAGATTTCTTTGCTTTCATCTTGGCTTCCTGTAACCAATAATACAGATCAGAAAAATCAGGGACATCACTCACCCGAGATACAATGCTGATCTCAAAACTAATTTATTTGACTCCCACCAGGACTGCAGGGGACTGATTTGGAGAAACATCAGATCCGATCTGATCCTGAGCTATTTTCCTGTTCCCTCAGTGAACATTTTCATTTTTTCTTATGAACTATGTGATGTATTTCTGATCCATCTTGGAAATTTTGCAGATACGTGATACTTGCACATGTAAGAATCCCAGCAGGGCTTTACATGTCTGTGACCCTTGGATTTGTTGCGCAATCCCTGATCAAATCTGCGCTCTCCAGCCCCAAATATGTATCTTGCATTTGTGAACTTGAACAGGCTGCAGTTGTGCTGTAGTGACTAATAGCTGCGTTTCATTAGGACACTTACTGTTCTGATGACACAGGCTTAACTGCATGTTTGCTTTACATATTGCAAGCACATTACTTAATTCTTCACAGACACACTTGCTCACACATTTCGAAGAGCTCTGTCTATCGCCTGTAGCCCAGATCTCTGAGTAAGCCGATGTGGAGTCTGTCTTAGACTGCAGGGAATTACCTCAGCTCTGAATCATGTGGCGCCTTGCCTAGAGTGTGCACAATGCAATCAGCCAGCCATCTTTCTTACTCATAAACTGTCAGAGGGCCTCACACAGAGGCTGGACACGAACTGCAGGAGTCGAGTCAAACACACTGTTTTTTTCTGTGTTCCAATTGGGCCGTATTAGGATTAAAAATATGACTTGAAGTTTGTGTTAAATAGTAAGCAAATACAGTTCAAACAGAGTGCACATGGGGACAGATCACAAGCCTAGGTATAGCTGGGGTATCACCAAATAAGCTGTGCAGGTGTAGGTGAGCCACACTCAAACATATGGCTGTTGGGCCAGACATCCTGGTGTGATGATGGAGGAGTACAACGCTGGAATGACATTTTGTAACTTTTGTAACTTTCATGGTATGTGTGTTGTTGTTGTTTTTTTAAAAGCTAATGTGATCTGTAATTTTTAATACAAATGCACAGCCCTAAAGTTGATCTTCTGTTTTCTGAGTAGATGTTCACTGTATGTAAAATGCTTCCAGTAGAATTGTATTTAACACAAATGGAAGAGGAAACTGGAGTTTTATTATAGGTGAAGTGAATGTAGTGGCTTTCCTGGTCAGGCAACTTGAGATAAAATTTAACGTAAATGACTCTGAAACACCTAAAACTACTCTTGCACAGTGTTGTACTGTAATTAAAAGTTCTGATCCACCCCTCATTTCTTCATACTTTGCTTCTGAGCTGTCAGATCTTCTTGTAACTTCTAAAGTGGTCTCGAGCAACAGTTCTCCAGGCTACTCATTTTTAGTCCAGTCCTTGTACCTGACTGTATTAAAAAACTTTTTTATCTTTAATTTGAAGCCACTTAAAAATGTGGGAATCCTCTTAAAAACCCTATTTTCTTAAGCCTGCAGTGGGATATGGTCGGTGACTCAGCTGTTCTGACTGGAGCTTTAAAAAATGGGGCACACACCTACACAAACATTTTGCCTTGATGTTTAAAAAAAAAAACATGTAAGATACGATTGTGGTAAGCTCAGATGTTGGCTGACTCTACTCGTTTTAATCTGCAGTTTAAAGACAGTTTTAAATCGTATAAAGAAGCAAAAACCTACAACATATTTTTACTGCAAACTGTGTGTCTGAAATCTAAACACTAAGAGGATATGATAGAACAGCGGACGCTGGAATGATTTTACTTTGACACCTTGACTTTTGGCATTCAGCGGTGCCCATGATAGTCTCCTTCAGCTATGTTGTTATTCTTTACTCGTGCCTTAAGTACAGCACAATGTAGATGAAACATGGACTTTTAGTATTTCATTACATATAGTACTGTACAAAAGGTTTGACCTAACCTTCATTGCTTCGAATTTTAACATTTTTCTTTGGACATTGGCTGCTTTTTCACTCATTTTCAGTCCAGTCCTTGTACCTGACCATTTTCAGATAATCTTTTTGTGTGTTGAGCCATGTAAATCTGACCTACGAATCAGTCAAACATAAAAAGAATCATGTATGTTTGCACATACATGATATATATATATGTAACTTGTTCTATATATATATATATATATATGACTTAGCATAGCATAATAGCATCTTACCTCCCTTTTCCTTGTCCTTGCTGTCATTTCGAGCTGCTTTAGTTGGTTCCCCTTCAAAGAAAATCAACATACTCTAATCCCAGTATTTCTGTCACTGTCCCTTACAGAGTACAGTATTGCATTATGTTATGTTGCTCAGTTACAAATGACAAAATAAATGTAACCAAGTATACTGTTGTGAAATATGTCTGTTAGCCAGAACTGCCACTTTTGAGCTCAGTTAGTTGGACTCATTTTGATGTGAGTGGAGCCGGATGAATTATGATCTAATGCCTTTGGGCAGCTTATTCTCTCTGACATCAAACACAAATGAGTCTCAGCATGTTTCAGTTCTGGTTTGTCTTTTGAATATATTTACTTTAGCCGAGCATAATGCTGAAAAAGTAATAAATTACTTTGCAAAAGAGCTTTCAAAGGGGTTTCTTTGCCCGCAAGCTTGTAGCTTGCATTCATCTATTTATCATAGTTTGATTTGTCATAGTCAATGAGTCCCTGAATAGCCCATTCCTAAACCAGATGCCACAAAGGCACACTGTATATGCCAAACAGACCTTGGTAGGTAGCCACGATGCTTTTTATTCATAGCACACAACATCATCTACCCTAATGTTAACCCTTTTTCTAACCACACTCTGGGCCCACCTATCATCATATGTATAACTAACAGAGTAGGTACACATTAAAACTACAGAACTCAGGGGTCTGACTGATTTTGGCTGCTTTTTCTATGTTAAAAATAAATCAATAAAGCACTTTCTGGGAAAATTCACCAGCTGCTAATGACTGTCAGCAGTTCTGGGTAATTCGCTGCGACAGGACTAAAGGTCCAGGGTCCAAAAACGGTTCTGGTGCTGTCAGAAAATTGGTGGACTAATCGGGCTTTGTGGCCAGTGGTACGACGTGGTGATGATGAATCAATTCCGCTGAGTGACTAGTAATAACACAGCAGGGAATGACGACATGCCACCGCGATGTACGCATTGCATATATGGAACTGGATGCAGGTCTAGTTTATGACCTACTTCTGGACGATGACAGGTTACATCTGCTGTGTGTGATGGTGTGTGATGAGATCCCCCTGCGGAGTCCAGCATGTTAATAAAAACATGCTTCAGGATAAAGACAAGACACTGATGAGAAAGGTCCCCTCTTAAATACTTTTCCTGTCATTGAATGAGTACTTCTGGTGGACTATTTTCATTGTTCCTCTGCCCTCTTTAAATATGCTTGCAGAACCAGTCCTGCAAGTGCACCCGTCAAGCATTTGAGGAGAGCTCTTAAATTGCACCATTACCCACTAAGGCCTAAATCAGGGATGTTAAACTCACTGTACAGCCCACTTTGATCTTAAGTGGGCCGGACCAGTGAGACTACCCTTTCTATTGGTATAAAGAAGTTTAACTACACCCTTAATCCCTGAGATGTGTTTGTATTAGAGAAAGAAGTGCAAGTCCTAATGTACATCTCAGATTTCCTGCAACAAAGCTACTGTAGTAAACTAAAGAAAGCTGTCGCCATGACATGCAAAAAATAAGTAATAAATGTGTAAAATTACAGAAGAAGTTCTGGTAGCTTGTTGCCATGACATGCCATTAAACCTTTTGTGGTAATTCACAGAAGATGTTGTAGTGTTCTGTTGCAGAGTGTAGCAACTCTGATTAAACACCTAGCTAAACCTTTGTCAATGAATACAGTCTGAGTAGAGTTGACCTTTTACTCTCAGAATCTTCATTTGACAAGCGGTGAAAACTGTAGTTGAAAAGAAATACAGAATAGTGTAAATCCCTTTGAGGCCTTTGAGGCATCACAGATGTCCTCTTTAAGAAAAAAATAAAAAATAATAATAATAATAATAATAATAATAATAATAATAATAATAATGTGGCTCGTTGTAGTAAAAAAAAAACAGAAAGGTTTTTGTTGTTTAATTACTTATCTATTACTGTCTGTTGTAATATGAATGAATGGCCATGGGGGAAAAGCTGTAAAACTAATGCAAATACAGTTAAAGGTCAAAACTATGCAATCCTTCACTTGTTTCAAAACTACCCATCTGAGTTTTTTGGAGTTGGAGTCTTTGTCAATTTTGTCCCCTGAGCCTTATGTTTGACACCCTTGGCCTAAAATATTTGCCCAGAAAATCAATGTAAAAGATGACATTGGGACATTGTCCTTTAATTGAAGGTCATGAATGAAATCAGTTGTCAGACACTTTATATGTTCAGTTTCTTTTCCGTTTCTCTTGACTTTATGCAAAGACGAATGACAGAAAAGACAATAAATGTACATTTATTTGCATACAGACAGTAACAAGCGTGTTCCTCTCTTTCACTGAACAGGTAGACGAACATGCGATCCCGCAGCAACAGTCTGGAGGACGTAACCAAGGCCAAGCTGATGCAGCAGGCAGACACTCGCAAGAGATCTGCAGAGCGAGATGAGCCCTCTGGAAGGGCAGAGCGTCGCGGTCGACACCGCGAGCCACCAGACGACACCGGCACCATTCAGAGGAACAACAAGACTCCCAAGAAGAGCACCAGCACAGGAGGAAGTGGGTGCAGCAGCAGTGCCAGCGGCGCTGCCAAGGGTGGTCGAAGGGAGAAGGGCAGGGACCTTTCCCGTGATGACCTTGTCTTTCTTCTGAGTTTGCTTGAAGGAGAGCTACAGGTAACCCAAACAGTAGAGATGACTAGGGGAATGTGGATTTAGCCCAGACAACATACAACCATTAAAGCAGCAGGTAGGCCTGCAGACATAGCACCATCCCCTGGCTTAGTGCGCTCTCAAGTTGGTCTGTGTTAACAGACAGCTGACAGCTGAGGCTACTTCCTGTTTCCTACACTACAGCCGAGAATCGCCTGGCAGTAGGAATGGAAACTAAAGAATTTATATTGATTCCATTATTACTATCAGTTATTCATTTGATTCCTTATCGATTCTCATGGGCTCCATTTTGAGAGCCACCACCATTGCTAAGTAGCAGTAAAGAAATGACACTCATGAAAATGAATTGCATGCTGTGGGTCAAATGTTTTCCAGTCTGTTGAGGTATTTCTCCTCTTTGTTGTGATCAGTGTTGGAGTTATTACTCAAAAAAGTATTTTTTACAAATATAACACTGAACACTTTTCTTGAAAGTAATACAGTACCTAACTTAATTACTCCTGGTAAAAAGTAATTCTTTCTACTACTGGTTACATTACTCTAATGGTACTTTGTAAAACAACTGAAACACACTGTCTCATAATCACCATTTAACAATATAAATCTGAGGCTACAACCCCACACACCAACACAAATCCCTAATGCAGACACACACGCGTCTCTAAGATCTTTCTCTTAGTAGAATACAAAGCTGGCTGCACAAAGCAAAGATGAAGACCAGCACAAAAAAGCAATCTCCACAGTGATTCGGCTTTAGAGATGTGAACAGGTAGAAAGGGAGGCTGCAGCCTGACTGCTCACCTGCTTGTTACCTGTTGAAGTTAAGAGTCTGGCTGTTGGGCTCGACATTCACTCAGCTTTCACTCGGGGTCCCTCACTGGCCTTCTATAGCTTGCATAGCTTCTGAAACTTACTCAGTGTGTTTCACCGCAGAGAAAACCCTTGTGTGGGTTTCTGGCATGTGAATCTATACAGGAAACAGTAATCCTGTAAATGGTGGTGTTTAGCCTTGGTCCGTTTCATTTCTTGTTAGATTTAATCAGTTTGTGGCATTTTTCACTCATGTTAATGAGTGAAAAATGCTCAATATTTCTGTGATTTATCTGGCAATTTAGAGGAGGTGGGCAGGGAAAGAGAGGTCTGGGCTTTTCTCTTTAGACGACTGTCCCTGTGATGTAGACACAAATAAATGGCAGAAGGTGGATGTATGCACAAAAATAAAAATTCCTAATATATTTGTCAATTTACTTCAACAGTGCTCCACAATGTTTCCATACAATCCGTGGTAACTGCAGAACGTAGACTCTTGCTGTCTTGCTGCTGCACATTAGCAGGAAAACAGTTTATTCCACTGCATATTAATCTTGCAATACGAAGTTCAGACCAGCCACATTCCTTTTCTTCCCTCACTGCAGGCCAGAGATGAGGTGATCACAGTGCTGAAGGCAGAGAAGATTGACTTGGCCCTGCTGGAGGCCAAATATGGTTTTGTCACACCACAGAAGGTCCTGCAAGCTCTGCAGAGAGACGCCATCCAGGGCAAGTGTGACATCTTCCAGGAAGACATCTATGAAAAACCAATGGCAGAGGTAACAAACAGTCACTCAAAATCTCTAATCTACTAATCCACTGTCCAAGCAATGCAGAACAGTCCAGACATGACAGATGTTTTTTATTCGCTCCCATCACAGCTGGATAAGCTAGTGGAGAAGCAGAGGGAGACGCACCGGCGGATGCTAGAGCAGCTGCTAATGGTGGAACAATCACACAAGCAGACCTTGTACAAGCTGGAAGATGAGAAGAGGAACCACGGGGAGTTCATAAAGAAGAGTGACGAGTTCACCAACCTTCTGGAGCAGGAGCGAGAGAGGTCAGTGCACAAACTACTAGGAGAAGTTGGGCAGTCAGTCAGAAAACTGGCAGTCCCCCCAAAAATGGCAATCACAATTTGCTTCAGTATGGAAGTGTCTGACTGTGTTTATGCTGGTTTCCTTGGAGAAATCTGGTGACCTATAATCTGATAGCAAATACAGGAAATCTCACTCTGGGTTAAGGGAAAGGGCGTCAGTGTCACTCTATAATTTATAATGTCTGATTTAAAAGATTCTGGATGCCCTTCAACTGCATTACAGCAGATCTTTATTGCGCTATTCTTTTGTTGTGTTTAAAACGGGGTCCATGAGGAAACTTAAAGTCTTCAGCACAACTGACCTCATCTCAAGTGGCATCACTTTAGAACGCTTATCAGATTTTAGAAAACCAGAAGGCTTCCTGGAGCTTCATTTACATGGACAAAAGTAGTCAAGCTCTGGAGTTCTTCTTGAAGTAGATGTTTATATGTGAAGTGATGTAAATCAAACTGCTGCAGGACAGCCATTCTAACCTGCACTTCATGTTTCATTGACCTCCAACAGGCAGCGACTCCAAACATGTGCATTGTATCAAGCTGAAGCTAGAATTACAGCTGATGCTGATTTCTTTCTTAAACAATAGCTGCCATCATCTTCACTGTCGCGGTGATATGAGTGTCTTTCTGAGTCAGTGTTGACGTTTTCTTTGGAGTGAGAGGTCCTCTTAACTTCCTATGACCTGGCATCCACATATGTGGACATCATATTTTGGGTTGTCTAAACCAAAATACAAAATTTTGCTTTACAAGGCCCTGATATCCACTTACGAGGACATTATACTGCCACTGTTCTATTGAAATTTAAAACAAACGTCCTCATATGTGGGTCTCATTTTTCTCAGAAACAAAAATCAGGTAAAAGAAAAAAAAAAACTCAGGTAATTCTTTGTTTTTACATTCGTCAGGTTCCAATCAGCCCAATAGGCAAAGAGAAATTAAAAATGAATGCCATGAAAGAGTTCGGGTCTTAGGAGGTTAAATCATTTTAGCCAGCAGAGGGGAAGTACACGAGGAGTGATCAAATCTTTTCCCTTGAACTGATAGTATGAGATATCGACGGACAGCCAGCCTCCTCCCAACTCAAGCCACTCAGTGTCACCAAATAAATGTAATAATAATAATTAATGTATTCATTAATAGTGTTAGCACTAAATCAGTTCTTTAGGAACAGGAGGAAAATCCCCTATAAAAAACAAAACATCCAATAGTTTTGTTCCCATGACCTAGCCCAGGTCTTTTACTTTTACTATCACTTTTTATTGGACAACTTTGCAAAAACCTGGAACAAACCAAGAGTTGTTTCTGGAGTTAATCCAGTGACCAGGAATGGAAGGCAGGACAGATAATTTACATGTGCGCTTAACAAGACAAATAAGCTTTACATTTACAGTTCTGCTTTATGGTAGCACTGTGGATATTTATGAAATGGGGGGACCACATCCCTGGAAAACTGTCATAAGGGCTAAGTCTGCATTTTGTTGCCAGTGAAGCTTTGAGGCAGCACCTCAGCACGAGGGACACTGACTGTTGGTGCTGCCATTTCATGATGTGCTATGATGTAATTCTTTAAACTCTCCAAGATCAGCAGCAGTATATTACAACTGCTCAAATCTGAAGGTTTATACACACCTTTCTTAATACAGTGTCCTGTGCACTACAGCTTAGCACAAACCACAATCAGTTTTCCTCAGTGCAGTGTTGATGCATCAGTCCACCAATTTAATTTGCTTTCAGAGTAACATAGTCTAACATTACCTAGTTGGACCCAGTGTAGTACAGGGATTTATAAAATCTAACAATGAATGCTATAACCACCACAAAGTTTACATTTTTGGTGTAGCTCTTCTAATGGCTTCAATAAAGCTGAAAAATCCCTTTACAGTAGATCAGCGGTCCCCAGCCTTTTTTGCGCCACGGACCGGTTTATGCCCGACAATATTTTCATGGACCGGCCTTTAAGGTGTCGTGGATAAATACAACAAAATAAAACTAGTACCGGTACCGAAAAAAGAAGACTTATTCATAACACACGTGAAAAGACCAAGGAAAACAGAGTTAATGATAAAAACGATAACAAAATAACGCTGAAAACCGATAAAAACCCTGAAAACTATACATTTCACACCTGAACTCTCGCGGCCCGGTACCAAACGACTCACGAGGCCCGGGGACCACTGCAGTAGATCACATCGCCACAATGCCAAGCTCAAGGCCTAAAAGGTGTAGCCTAAGGTTACTTTGAGTGCAAAAATAATTCCTGACCGAGGTTGAGTGCGAATATGGGAAATTTTATTAGACTAAAAGACTGCAGTAAGATGCTGGAAGCTTGTCATCTCGGACTGAGAGAAGCTGCTCGGCCACTGAAATTCATGCCACAAAACACCTGGTGCACATTTTTGATGCTTATGTTAATACCAGAGGAGGTTTAAAGTGCTGCAGCTGTTGAGTCAGCAGAGCATTGCTGTGGTTCCTTAAAACTTCTACTTTGCAATAATACCACTTACAACTGATTGTGAAATATCTAGGAAGGAATAATATTTAGAAATAAACTCGGAAATAAACTGTGGCATCCTATTACCAAACTCTGGAAGCTCTTTACAACCATGCATTCTTTCATTAATGTTTGTAAAGGCAGACTGCATGGCTAAGTGCGGATTTTATAACCCAGTGGCAACGGACTTGAAAACATCTGAATTTAAAATTAAAATGTGTGGCCCAATACTTTTGTCCATATGGTATTTGGTACTTTAAGCTAATTGTTATTGTATCTTTATTTCAGACATATACAGAAAAAAACAATATATACACATAGTACACATACTTGCATTTACAAATACAAATATATATGTAAATACACACACGTATGTGCTCAGACAAAACAAAAAAAAGAAAATAAATAAAATAAAACAGAGTCTAAATGACATGAAATGACAATTATTAAGTCTGAAATGGTAATTGCTATCATCGTCATGCGGTCTTGGTCATGACAATGTTAGCATTTAGTCCAACATCCCTGAATGTATACTTTTGAATATTGCAGAAGTCCTAACACTTCCAGTGGAGAAAAATATTGTAATGTGAGATGAAGCTACGATGAATTATTTAGCAGTCATGTTCAGCACTGCAAGCCAAGACAGAGGCAGCTGGAGGTCTGAGGTGGAAACATGTCTGATTTCTTCTGTAAATGTCACATAGAGAGCAGTTACTGGGCCGCACTCTTTTTACTGCTTCCTCAGCAATATCACATATCATACACAAGCACAGTGTGTGCACTAACCTGGGAACTCACCTGCAACACACACACAGGCAAAAAACACGCACGCACACACACACACTATCTCGGCAATTAATCTCACAAGGGAAACACAGCTGGACAGCGGCCCGTGACCTATTTGGGACAATCACATCATTGCACTTCAGCCATAGCAGAATGTTTGAGTTGGATCGAGAGGGCAGTGTGACGATGGTCTGGGCTTTGTCAAAGAGCATGTCAGGAAGGACAGGCTGCCATGAAAAATAGACCCCTGTCCAGGGTCGAGCTAATTACCTTGTGAGAAAAGGCAAAAGATTTATATGACTGAGAGAACAAAAAAAAAAAGAAAAGAAGAAAACTTACCCAAAAGCTCTGAAAAATATCAGTCATAGTGCATGTTCAACAACATGCCAGAATACCATGGAAATAGTGGACAAGGGTCTATTTTTTAAATAATGAGCTTGCCAGTAGACTTTAGCATAAGCTCAAGTCTGTGTGTAAAGGCATTGAACATTTGCCACTGTCTTCTCTGGATTGTGTATTAGCTGAGTATGTGTGTATCCAACATTATTAGGCAAACGTGTGTTCAGAGGTGTCCTCTTACCTCGCCTCCCCTCCCTGTTTGTCCAGACAATCCTCACATGAGACATTATAGTTCTCAGTGTCGCCACTTGGATAATTATAAGTTATACTATATGGTAATGATGTAAGTGTGCTCTCTTGAGTGACTGTGGGTAGCTTTTCTGGTTCATAAATAAAAGGGCATATAGTTATCACAGCCAGCAGGAAAACCCAGTTGTACACTATGCTATGTATTTATTAACAGCTTCATTTGTACTTATTGAGTCTTGGCCAGCATTTCTATTGGTTATGATGATGCACTTGTCTCAAACAAACAAGACCTGCTAAGCTGCTAACATCCCTGTTTGAAAGGGAAGATAAAGGTTTCAGATGGGATTATGAGTGGCAAATAATGGAAAATGACTATGAAGAATCTGTAGGCACGGGATGATATTTCTTACCTTCTGGTTTTCATTTGGGTTAGTCCAAGTTCTACTGAACATGTCACATTTGGGCAGGTTTAGCAGCTAGACAGAGTGAACAATGGCACATGGAACAAGAAGTCTGGAATGTCACTTTCTTTATCTGCTATCTAATATCCCGACTACACCAGAAGCCCCGTAAAACTGGCTCTCATTCACAGAGGCCAAGTAAGCAGACTAGCTGGTGGGTTTTCAGAGTTAGTGCACAATGAATTCCTGGAACTCACTCTGCTAGTGTTGATCACTTTCCAACTATGAGATTTTTGGTTAAATGCTACAAAATCAGATTTAAAATAGTCAGCATTTTTGTACAATTTGATGTGATGAATCAATTTGTGAGCTCAGGCTTATGTGCTACACATCTGATATGGAGTTAACCAACGATCAAAGAATACAGCCAAAGTTGTCATTTGTGGAAGCTGTTACCTGCTGAGGGTTCAGTTACATGACCCCAAATCATATGTCAGTAACTTCACCACCTTTTCGTATGTGTGCCTCTGTAAAGTCAAGTGAGTTAGGCCTCAGTCAAACAAGCCTAGATAATGGTCTACAACCATATGGCAACCAGCAGTTGCAAGTGAAAAATTAGTATTCCTCTACCAGTTGACAAACTGTCACTATCACTATCAAATTGATTGCTAAAGCCCCAGTTATGCAGGCCTTAA